CTATCCAACCACCTGCTCAAAACCACAGGAATTGAATGCCGTGCAAACATTATCCTGGACTTCATGTTTCAAAACTTGGCCAGCCAGTAAAGTGTAATCTTAAAGATGGACTTGTTTGCCTAAATAAAAACCAAAATATTACACAGCAGTGCTTTGACTACGAGATGAGATTGTTGTGCTGTCACCGAGACTGTGTCAGCGCATCTCTACCAGCAGCATTGAATCTAGCTTTACACAATTCCTCCACAAGAGTAAGCACAACCACTGTACCCACAACAAGAGCTATGACTACAACCATTTTAAACAAAAAACCTTCTAAATGTATTTGCCAGTGGTCAAAATGGGTGGACTTTGGCAGCCCAACAGAAGGGCCTGAAGGAGGTAAACTAATACCAGTCAAAATCATCACTGATTCCTTTCCAACCACCTGCTCAATACCACATGGAATTGAATGCCGTGCAAAACATTATCCTGGACTTCCTGTTTCAAAGCTTGGCCAGGTGGTAAAGTGTAATCTTAAAGATGGACTTGTTTGCCTCAATAAAAACCAAAATATTACCCAGCAGTGCTTTGACTACGAGATGAGATTGTTGTGCTGTCATCGTGATTGTGTTGGTGCATCTCTACCAGCAGCACTGAATCGAGCTTTACACAATTCCTCCACAAGAGTAAGCACAACCACTGTACCCACAACAAGAGATATGACTAAAACCCTTTCAAAAATTATCCCTTCTAAATGTATTTGCCAGTGGTCCGACTGGATGGACTTTGGCAGCCCAACAACAGGGCCTGAAGGTGGTGAAATTGTACCAATAAAAACAATAACGAACACATTTGTTAACACCTGCTCTGCTCCAACTGAGGTTGAATGCCATGCAAAACTTTTCCCTGGACTACTACTTTCACAACTGGGCCAGGTAGTAACATGCAATACTAAAGATGGACTAGTTTGCTTAAACAAGAACCAAGGTGTTACTCAGCAATGTTTTGATTACGAGATTAAAGTATTATGTTGTCATGGATTATGTGGAGTATCATCAAAAATTTCACAAACAGATCAGTATTTTTCCCACAGCACAATTATTACCACACCAAGTCTGCCAATTATCACAGGTTCATTAAGAGGTCACAAAACTGCACATCAAGATTGTGTCTGTGAGATTTATGGCAGTACGTTTAAGCCAGGTAATCTATTTTTTCTTCTCTACTTTTCTAAAAACCTTTTTAATATACTGTATATACATTTATTTATAATTATTTTGTTGTCCTAATAAATAAAATGCATATTAAATAATGAACGTTTTATCGTAACCTCTTTCTCCACAGAATCAGAAATTTACAATAAAACTGATGGTGATGGATGGTGTTACATTGCTAAATGTGTAAAAACAGAAGAGAAGAAGTGTGATGTGATAAAATTATCACAACCCTGTTTAACAACAATATTGCCTTCAGGTCACAACTGTGATGGATATATGCCTCCCCTTACAGTAAGTACTTGTATAATTACTGTATAACAATTATTACTGTATAATTAAGGTTCATGCAAAACATTTTATATAATCCAGATTTTGCTTTAACACAACACCACTTAATAACTATTCTTTTTTCTTTTTTTTAGAATGGTGTATCTATTCTTGTGGGAAATTGCTATATAGACACATGCATAAATGGCACAATAGAGCATAAACCAGTACAGTGTGATCCTGTAGAGCATCCTGTGTGTGACAACAAATTTCCCCCCATTAAAGTTCCTGATGAGTCTGGATGCTGTTTTAAATATGAGTGCCAATGTAAGTTAATGGCTTTCTAAGTTCAATTGAAGTATTGAGTTACTACCTCAAAGCTTTTTTTTCACTACACAAATTAACTGTATATGTTAATTTGTAAACGGTATATGTTTCAGGTGTCTGCAGTGGCTTTCTCAACCTACATTATGTCACATTTGATGGAAAATATTACCCTTTTCAAGGAAACTCCACTTATGTGCTTGTGCAAGAAATTTATACAACATATAATTTTAGTGCTATAGTTGTTAATATCTGTGATTTTGAAGAAAGTATTTCCTGTCCCAAAGCCCTGAAGGTTCATTACAAATCTTCTGAGATCATCATGACTCAGAGGTTTTCTGGTGGAAGTGTAATGAATTTGGTAAATAAGCTTTTTTTTTTAAATCTATATTTCAGATTCCTTCTGTGACAAATTCCTTTTAACATTTGCTATGTAGTCCATTCAAATGATCTGGCACACACATGTACAGTATAATATACATGCATGCTGACTTATCTACCACCATCTCCAACCAAGTTGTTAAATAGCTGTTAATCTAAATGACAAAATTTGCATTATTAATAATACACACAAAAATTAATATTGGCAGAGCAGAAGATGGGTTGGGATATTTTTTTTTTTTGCTGCACTTTATTTTCACAGCTGGCTTACATAAAGATAAGTACCATAAAATGGAATGTTCGGGACATATAAGTTTATGCTTTGATTGTTTTTTTCCTTTTTTTTTAGATTTATGTTAACCACAAGGAAGTGAAGTTGCCATTTCAAATTAAAGATATCAGTGCCACAGAGAACGGCAAAGAGTCTCTTGTGGTCATATCTGAGATTGGTGCACAGATCTCTTTTAATGGCACAATGTTTTCCATCAACCTCCCATGGCAAAAGTTCCATGGTAACACAGAAGGCCATTGTGGTAGGTTTACAGTCTTGCTGAAAAGATTATGTACAGAATAAATTACATTGCTAGGTTGTCTGGTTGCACAGTAAATCATTCTTCTTTTTTAAAGTGATATTGTGTGAATGTGTAATGAAATATTGGGATTATTTAATATGTTGTCTACAGTAAGTCTTGTATTCAGGGACTTTTTAACCTCTGATTTGGTCTTTTTAGGTATTTGTGATAATAACCACAAAAATGATTGTCGCTTGCCAAATGGCACCATTATATCATCTTGCCAAGAAATGGCTCCATATTGGAATGTTCATAACAACAACAAAAACAACAACAAAACCCTTCTGTCACCAAGACATCGGTCCATATCAGTGCCATGCCCTTCTTCTGCAATATGCAAAATCTTCGAACGCAAGTAAGCATGTCATTAAACTATTCTTTAAAAACAAGAATAACAGCATATATGACTAAAGTAATACTGGTTTGTGAATATATTTTCAACTACTCATATTATGTAGTTAATGAACATTTCCAAAAAGTTGTGCTTTCCTCTATTAACAATTTATTTTAAAAAAACTCAACAGGCTTTTTGAGAAATGCCATAAATTTGTCCCTTATGAGCCCTATGTGTCAGCTTGTAACATTGATGTGTGTAACATGAACAACGAAACAGTTGGCTGTGCCAGACTGGAGGCCTATGCTAAGAAATGTGCTTTGGCAGGAGTATGTGTTGACTGGAGAGATGCTACCAATGGAATGTGTGGTCGGTATATTTATTATCTTAACAGAAGTGCAGCAGAATAACTTTTATTGTTGTATTTATCAACACACATTACCATTTTTTTTTTCATTCAGATTTTAAATGTAAAATGCCACAGATATATCTAGCATGTGGTCCTCAAGTGGAACCAACCTGTGATGGAAGGTATATGAAATTAATATATATATATATATATATATATATAATTTGCAAGATAGAAAAGTGAAGTTGGATGCAAATGATTAAACATTTTTTTTTGTATGATTTTAGATTTAATCTAAACAATAATGCAATAAAAGATAATGCATTAAGTAATTTTAAATCCATGCAACGGGAGGGATGTTACTGCCCAAGTGGTACCACACTTTTGCGACATAAATCTAATGTCTGCGTTCCAAGCTGTGGTGAGTGTAATTGAATTTTGTATTATATCAATGCTTTCATCACCTTTAATGTCCTGTATGGGCATATACTAGGATACCCCCCCTCCCCACCACCCAAGAGGGAAAATAAATTATCTTGATACATTTTGTAATACAAAGTCTTAAGTATAGTATATATGTTAAAGTTTAGACATTTTGACTATATATAGTGTATGCACATCATCAACAAACAAAACTTTACATATAAGTATCCACACATACTTTATATTCACACATATATGGCTTTGCCACCCATATACAGTGGAAATAAAAACAAAAATAAACTATAAACCATAACAGCTTTGTACTAGAGCTAGGTTCACAAGATTGATTTGCAGATTTTAAACGTTATTCATGTTGATGAACCGATATCGATTCTTATATCCCAACAAGTCAGTCTACATTGTTTATTTTGCATGATGGAAATGCCTTTTGCCTTGCATAAAATAAAATAACTTTATTTTACTTGTTATAAAATGTTATATATAATGTTTTATATAATTACTTTGGATGTTAAAATGTTTTCTGTTTGTTTATGAGCAGGTTATAAGGACGTCACAACTTTCGGCTATGAGAAACTTGGGGCAGCAGCCTGAGGTTCACAGTTCCCCACCGTACACCATTCAGCACATCAGATTTCAGCAAAACACCAGCACGAGAACCAGAAACATTTCGGTTTTAAAAAAGGGATGAAATAGAACGGTTACACGTGAATCAAGATGTTACTTTTAAATGTTAAATGTAAAAAAAAAAAATGTTTGTTAAAAATTTTTACATATAGGTTATATATAAATTACTAAAATGTATAAAAATATGCTGTATTTAGAAGTGTATTCATACAATTTAGAGGGCATATTGTGTAAACAGTGGTGGTGTAGGTTTTATTTTATTTTTTACTAAATTTAACAAAATTTATTAAATGTAGAAATAAAATATTTGTGACCTGTGAATTACTCCAATATCCAAATTGCTTGCTCTCAATCTCTACCAGTCGTCTCTGTATCAATATCTATAGTGTGATTGTTTAGTGTGATTGTTTTTAAAGCTACTCTATGTAACCCTTTCAATAAAAAAAATGATTGTCCTATAATTTTAAAAGGAAGTTTGACAAACTGCAATATTAAAGTTAGCATGAAACGGAAGTTGGGATTGCATTTTCTTCCCTATTGTGATATTTCCGAGTGGCATCGCATCTGGAACAATAAAAAATGTAGGGCAGGACTTGATTTTGTCCATGCAGAATTGATTGGATTGATTGGATCTAATGTCAGTGACAGGTCGCTATTTTAACGATCTGAAACACCAGTGTCAAAGCGCAAAGCACAAGTAACTTTGTGGGCGGATACCGGCGCTGTTGCTATTTTCCCAGGATTTATTTATTTATCCTTTATTTTACCAGGATAGTCCCATTGAGATAAAAATCTCTTCTTCCAGGGAGTCCTGGCCAAAATGGCAGCACAAAAAAGTTTCACTTATATTACCATACAGACATAAAACTCAATCTTACATACAATTTTACCCAGTGCTCATAAAATAAACAAAAGTTACTTTACAAAATATGCACACGTTTCCTTTAAATTGGTCAATAAAAGATTTTTAAAAATGTTTAAAGGGGGAAGAGTTTTTGGGCCCTATTTTAACGATCTGAAACGCAAGTGTCAAAACGCAAAGCGCAAGTAACTTTGTGGGCGGATCCCGGCGCTGTTGCTATTTTCCCGGCAGGATAAATGTCTCTTGCGCCTGGCGCAAATCTAAAAGGGGTTGGTTTGAAATAGCTTCATTATTCATAGGTGTGGTTTGGGCGTAACGGAAATAAACCAATCAGAGCGTCATATCACATTCCCTTTAAGAGCGCGATGAACGAGATGCGCTTGTTCTATGGCGCAATACTATTATAACGGCGCATTTACCAGACGCGCTTCACAATAGGTTCACAGCCGAGGAGATCGATGTTCTCGTCAGGGCTGTAAAAGAAAGAGAAGTGACATTGGGGATAGGACAAACAAACCCAAATTAGCTTTGGTTAAACATGCATAGCCTATAATAATTTGGGTAAACGTGTAATCTTCTATTTTTCCCATTGTCATGAACACAACAATAATTTCCCTCGGGTTTTAATAGTTTTCCTTATAATAATGTATCATTTGAAAAAAGTAAAATAGATCTGTGTAGATGAGAGAATCATCTACAGTGTATGCGTGTTGTTCACTCTGTATTATGGCCAAGCATGCATGCTTAAAATAGCATCTAAAAGTACGCGCAACGCGCCACTGACTTTAGACTAGGTTTTTTCTGGTCAGTGGCGCAATTGTTTTCTGGAACTGCAAAATAGCACCGGGGAATGTTTGCGCCGAAACACGGCTCCTTTTTTGCGACGACCCGCCCAGGGAGCGCAAGCTCATTCCCTAGTTTACCGACGTGTGTCTGTGGAGGGAAAAGCCCGATTTGCGCTGGTGCAAAATAGGAATGATAAATGCGTTTGTGTATAAAGTCATTTGCGGCGGGTCCAAGATAGGGCCCAGCCAGTATCTGAGAAGAGATGAGATGTCACTGCAATTTGTGTCAGGCAAACATACAGTCGGCAACGCGTCATAGTTGGGGGGCGTGTTTGGCGTGGGGGAAAGCACTGCGACCATAGTATGTATTTGAATGACAAAAATGTCACATTGCGAGTCATTGACGCCTGCCGACCAGCAACGGCACATTGCAAAATGAACTGCAATAGGTTATGATTGCCCTTATTTAATTAAAAGCTGGGTCAATGACCCAACCAAATGGCCGGAAATGTCGTTTCCAGACTATTGTTATCTGGTTGAATCTCCAGGTAAGACATTGCGGTAGCTGTAGTGGTAACATTAGTCTATAACTCAATCAACTTGTGTATAAGTTACTATAAGTCCATAAAACCTTGTCACTTACCAACTGTACATATGCTTCACTCCAAACTATTAACTATTAATCCTTTTGTAAAACGGTGATCAGTAGTAGCAGCTACGAAGTTGCCATGGGACTTTGCTGACAGTTATACGAATTCTCACAGACTGCAGTCTGTATTGAGTTGATAACCTTCAGCTGAAAACACTAATGTGAATGAGACATCCCTTATAAAAAACAACTATAGGAATCTTGTTGTATTTTAGGATAAAATATTATAGTAACGTTAATCCTATGGAATACTGTAGTATTTTGGGACATAGCCTAGCAGTATAGTATTACTGCTAGGCTAGTATTACAGAACATCACAGAAGTATTATACACTACTATAGAATACTTATAACCATTGGATATCTATAATTCTTTTTCGTAAGGGATGTAACGTCAGACAAATCTGGCCCACTGCCTAATACGAGTTTAACACCGACTACTATATCGCAGAGGGATCTCCTAACACAGTAATCTAATAAGTTATGATTAATTTTGCCATTTTTCCTCCTATCCGGTTCTGTGTGTTTATTGTAATTTGTTAGTTTATTGGTGGTACAGAAAACGACAGCAACTCTTCGGCATGATTGTCGTATATTTCAATGAGCGCCAAGGCAATGTTTTCCCCGACGGGCTAAATTCACATCACGTGACGGGGCGTTCCCGGGGGCAGGAATACTGTAGAATACTGTACTTACTGCAAAACTAATAAGGAATTACTGAAGAACTAGTGGTAATTCTTCATTAACTACTTCTTCACTGCTGTTAACTACTAGGTAAGATGTGTTAACTAATCAGTATGTAATGGAATTCTGAATTCTGTCATACCTCCTGAAGAACTACTATTAATTATGGTTCAAGAAAAATAACTATAAGCAACTAACAGACATACAAAACTAACTTAACACAATCATAAAATTCTATTACATGCTGATTAGTTGCATTCTTTTTTGCACCCCTTTTTTCTAAGGCTACATTAAAAATCTGATTTGGAAAATCTGAGGTACAAATATCAAAAAAAAAATGTGCACCAGTCATGAGAGAATGTTTGTTTCAATTGAAAAAAGCTAGGAAAAACATTAACAATGTAAATAGCATTGACAACTGAAATTACCTCTCTGCCAAATATGTAATGCTTTATTGTCATTAAGTGAAGGGGGGAATAAAGGGTTACGATTTATAGGTGAATCTACAGGCAAGCGCTGAAGACCAAAATTGGTTCGGAAATGGAATCTAAAGTGCGGTACAATATTTCTCTATGAATTCTGGCTGGTCCTTTTTTCCAAATAAAAGATGAGATGTGTTGATTCTTGAGTCTTGAGTCTTAAAAAAAGATGTTGCATACAAATAGGGACACATTGAAATAAATACAGAAATCTAGGTAAAACATTCATCTGCCTACCTTAATTTTTGATGTAAGGAATATAAAGTATTTACTAAATATGGCCAAAAGTATGTTGACGCCCTGGTAATTAAATAATGTAACTGTAACTGGCTTGGCTATTCCAGTGAAAACAAATCTACACAAGAATTATGGGAATATTGTTTGAATACATTATAACTGACCACCCATATCCAGTGAAAATAAAAAAGAAATCAACTATGAAGCATAAGAGGCTTTGTACTAGAGCTAGATTCACAAGATTGATTAGCAGATTTTTATCGTTATTCATGTTGATGAACCGATATTGACCCAACAAGTCAGTCAGCTAAATGCATCAGTCTGCATTGGTTATTTCGCATGATGGAAATGTCTTTTGCCTTGCATAAAATAATATGATTTTATTTTTCTTATAATATGCTTTATACAATAAGACCTCCAGCCATAAGTTCTCTGTCTGTCACCTGTAGAAGAGGATTACATGCAAAGAACAGGGTTATGTGCCTGTATACTCACCTGACTGCTTTTCAGTGAAGACCTCCAGCCATAAGTTCTCTGTCTGTCACCTGTAGGAGAAGACGATTACGTGCAAAGAAGAGGGTTATGTGCCTGTATACTCACCTGACTGCTTTTCAGTGAAAACCTCCAGCCATAAGTTATATGTCTGTCACCTGCAGAAGAAGACGATTACGTGCAAATAAGAGGATTACGTGCAAAGAAGAGGGTTATGTAACTGAATACTCACCTGACTGCTTTTCAGTGAAGACCTCCAGCCATAAGTTCTCTGTCTGTCACCTGTAGAAGAAGAGGATTACATGCGAAGAAGAGGATTGTGTGCCTGTATACAGGGGCGGGTCCACGTGGGGGCCAGGGGGGGCACCGGCCCCCCCTGAAATTCGATTGGCCACCCCAGGTGCCCCCCCTATAAGATGTCTTGTGATTGGTTCATTTTACGGCCAATCAGTTTATAGTAGGGATGTCCCGATCCGATCCACGGCATCGGTATCGCGCCGATACCGGCCCAGAACGCTAGATCGGAGATCGGAGGGGAGAAAAAAATATGAGCGATATCCAGTTTAGCGGCGCAGCCTGTCACGTGATGATTGTTGTGTTTACGCACACGCGCGCAGAGAATCACTCTCGCTTTGCGTGTCAAGAGCGAAACTGGCACGCGTTAAGTTTGAAGCGAAATTTACGCGCGTGACGCGCGTCAGAATCAAAATCCGTTGGCGGTCATTGTTTTTATGTCGACCGAGCATTCATCAAGAGAGTTACCGCTCTGTATTTACTCTGGATAGCAGAACAGCGGCGTGGGGATCATCGTCGCCGTATATTTGTGTCCACCGGACCCTTCGGAGCCGAACCGTTTGGCGAGTTTCACCATTTGCTCGCTCCAGGAGCTGCGCTGGATGACGGCCGCTGTCAGCGGTACTTCCGCCTGTCACGCGCCCAGTTTGATGACCTGTTGTCCCGCATCTGAGCGAGGATCACCCTCGCCCGGCCCCTCATCCATCTAATCTAGCTGTCATTTATTTTTGTTTTGATAATAAATAGAGCCAGCCTTCAAAAGTTATTAACCTGTTCTGTGATTTTTTTCTCTCTCTCACGTCCAGACACGAATTTATGCACATGTTGATTGTCTTTACAACATAATACTATTTCTAGATATGGAATGAATAACATTCAATACAAAATGAACATGTCTCCATATAGAAATAATGTTTTAAGTGATGAAACATTTGCTTTGTTGTGCATAATCCCACCATGCATTTAGTCATATTAACAAAATAATTTATTGAAGCATCCA